GCCTTGTCCACAATCCCGCGGGCCTCTATGGGCATGCTCACACTCAAGTAGTGATGCGGTGGGTGGTGCACCTGATCTGCACCCCGGCCATGCACATGCACTTCCCTCTTTCTTGCGTAAAGTCATGCCCTTGAAATACCGACGTACACCCGACGGGTGTCGGGTAATCTAAATAATTTTATTTTGGTCATCTGGTTTCGAACGCAGGTTTGTATTTCAACAATTCAATAGTGTACCCACTGAGCTAGACTATTGGGTCTCACAGTCGGTCCACGGATCGGTACAGGGTCACGTCCCAAAATGGGACTTAAATAAGAAAAGAAAAAATAAACATACATTTTTTTAGAAAAATTAGAAAAAATCGGAGTAGAGTGAGGGGAACCGTGGGGACTCGTCCCTCGGCCCCACCTTACGGGCCCGCGGTCGGAACTCCCCGCAAAACCAAGGGGGATAGTCGCTCGGGACCCTCGACCCCTCGGTTTAACTCCGTAGCGCTCCTCCGCTCGTCTGCTGCTGCGTGCCAGCCTCGACCCCAAGATCTCCAAGTTGAAAGTCCAACGCTGTAACCAACAGGGCTAAGCCCAAGTCTGGTTACAGCAGGCGTGAAATTGCATATCAATAGCTCATGTAGGCTGCCCGGGCCTGCCAAATTGCACCAAGGCTGCTGGTTGGCTTATTACTCGAGCCCAAGCCTTGCAATGTCACGCTTTCGCTGCTTGTGGCCGACTCTTTGCTCGACACATCGCACACGCAGCCCGCGACGCCGCGGCCAACAGGTAAGCTCCCTCACACTACCTTCTTCCTTGGAAAGGCCGCTCTTTTACCGTCTCCAAGCCGGAAAAAAACCCAGCCTTTACTCATGTCTCTCTGCTAAATCTCATTGGCAATTCCGACGCCGTCAACCTTTGTGCCCTGCACACCCCACGAGGTGCGGTCTGCAGGCTTTTCAGTAAGTCAATGAGAATCCCCCTCTAGCTGTGGCTTCAACGATTAACTTCTGCGTTGGTCGCGACTCCGTCAGCGCGCCCGAGGTTGCGACCTACGCAAACTTTATCTAAGTTCTAACTTTTTCCCGGCCTACACTGCCGACCGGTTCGTTCGTTCACACTAGTCAAGCATCTAACTAACGCGCGCCCGCAAAGTGCACGCCCACACACACACCCTCTGACTCATCCAAGTGTGCCCCCGCCACTTCCTGACTTCCAAGAGTCAGTTGTGGTCGAGCCTAAGGCATGTCACTCTCTCAAATATCATCAAGGGTGCCCCTCCTGCGAGGTGCAAAAAACACGCACAATTACCCTTGTTAGGGTAATGATGCCGACAACGCCAAGCGTGCACATCCCATTTCATTCCAGACTGGCTTCGTCATGGTAGTCGACGCCGTCACCGTTTCGAACGCAAAAGCACGGCCAAATACCCTTGTAAGGGTATTTGGTCCGACAACACAACCACTTTTCGACAAAAATGTAAATTGAGAATGAATTTCCCCCTAGAAGTCGGGAAGATTCATTGCCCACAGATGCACCTTCTATTGCACCTACTATCTGGTAAGAAAGCAAATGAATCTTTCACCCGGACATGGGAAGATACATGTTGCCTCCACCTGACACCACGAGGCTCCACTCCTGGTTGCTTCGACGCTTCCAACTTCAAACTCCCGATGGTAAGCCATCTTTTTCCTTTCGCCTTTCTACTCGGTCATCTCCTCTTCTCTGTTCCTTGCTTTTCTTCTCGTCGCTCCCCTCGCCACACGTCTTCTTCGTCTTCTCAATGGTCGTTCCTCCTTCTTTGATTCCGCCTTCTTCAGTTTGCGTTTTTCTATAGTGCTTGTTTGCCTGACAAATTCAACCATAAATGAGCGACGTCAACCTTTCCCATCTCAACCTCCCGCCTTAAGTAGGATCGGTGTGAACCTCAGTCGGTTAAGGGAGGCGGCCAAACAAAATTAAGGAAAAGGAAAAAAAAAAGAAATTTGAGAAAGTTTTGACTAGCCTCATGCATCATCCTTGCGCAAGGCCATGCTACTCTTCTCTGTATAATTCTAATTTTAACGGATGTCCCAAAAGACTAAAACGCTAGGCCGTGGTCTCAGGCACTTGTGCTGGAACAATGACATCGACTTATCACTGAATTGGTCGGGCTCAAACAATTATGAAATGTAACATTTTACTCCCCTACTTCAAATGGAGTTCGAACTCAGGTGTGTATTTCATCAGTTCAGGGGTGTATCAAATTGTGCTACGCCCATTGGTGTGGGCACCGGTTCCGGAATCGACACCGGTACAGGTCCCCAAAACAGGACCTTGCAATAGGCATGACAAAAAAAATTAAATAAATAGTAGTAACGAAATAGAGAAATCTGAGGGGAGGGGGACTGTTGACACCTCCTTAGTCTCATTCGTCGGACCCCCAGATGCGGCCAAATAACAAAATAAAGTGGGATAGTTTCGTCCGACCCTGAACTCCTCGACCTTTTTCAACTGCTCAAATACTTTCATGTCGTCGCTCGCTGATCTCGGTTCTTGAATCCCCCGGATGAATGTCCGACACTGTAATCAATAGTGCTAGGCCCAAGGATGACATTAACATTAGCGGAAACTCATATAAAAGGGCGTCGTGCGATGTATCGGTCCACTTAAAGACTCCAAGCCCACACCTTTATCAAAGTTGTCCTCCTCATGGACGCACCACGGTCACATCAGCGGAAGGTATTACTTAGTCTTAGTTTAATCAAAGTTAAAAATTTGGTCAGCGGATGCACAAGCTCTATAACATCGTTAAGAACATTACGGACACCTCAAAACTACGCGCCCACACACTCTCTCCTTTCAGTCAAACATTTAGCGGACATAAAAAGAAATACAACAGCGACTCGCGCGGTGTACTCAAATTTCAAGTCAAAACTTATTTTTTGTCACTTCCATAAACCAGGGTGGATACCCGTGTAAGGGTATTTGGACCGACAACAGTACGACTCGAAAGGTATCACCGACGAAATTGGTTACACAAGGAGTTACGAAGGTGGACCCTCTTGCGGTAGGAGAGTCGGATGCTCGTGCTACCCGGTCGTGCAACAGGTAACTTAACGTCAAAGTGGCAGGGCCCTCCTATTCGTTTGGAATGAAATGGACCCAGTATTACTGGTGCTACTTGGTAGTGCGACCGATAGCTTAATTTCAACGTCGCAAGGTCCTTTTGCCCGTTTGGGATGAAATGAGGTTGTATTATTGACTTACATTGAGGGCACGAGTGCACAACCCGTAGTTTGTTTGTTGATGTGGTTGGGGAAGGGTAAGGTAGTGATTTGTCATGTTGGCAGCCTATCAGGGGTGCGTTTCATCCCCCTGAGACTTTCAACGTCACAAAAATTTCAACGTCGGTGGTCGCTGGGGAGAGTGGGCATTTTGAGGTCTTGGAGCCTTGCAAGGCGTGGAACCGCGTAGAACCCGTAACTGCCTGTAGGGCGCCAAGGAGGCCTTGGTCCTTGAGTTTTGAATATTTCGAAATCGGAATCGAAACGGTGTGGGTCCACTTTTTTCGAATAGCATAACACTTTGAATAGAACACGTACACGTTGTATTCAAATACAACATGTACCCTTTCTCTTTTCGAATTTCGAAACGAAAAAACTCTTGTATTACAATAACATTACTTTTTTTTTTTTTTGGGAGGTCAGTGCATGCCCTTCTGCTCCCTGCCTTTGACATGTTGCATGCTGCAGGGCTCTCTCTCTCTCTTTCTTTTACACACACACACACACACACACACACACACACACACACACACACACACACAC